AAAAGGGGGGGGGGGGGAGAAGAAAGGGAAAAGGGGGGGAAAAGGGGGGGGGGGGAAAGGGGGAGGGGGGGAGAAAAAAGGGGGGGGGGGGGGGGGGGGGGGGGGGGGTGACTCCACTAGTATCGTACAGTACAGGCGTCCCCGCTTTCAGGACGTGAACAATGTAGGGTCGGCCGGCTACTCCCTCTTGCAGCTGGCCGTTTCTCGCCACACATGTTTTTTCGTACGCGATACCAACACTTTATTTTGCACGTCTCCATTTCTCCGATCGATTGACTTTTCACAACCACACCCCCCTCCCCCGCGCGAGCGCCCGAAGTAGTGCAGCACCTCGACTATATGGTGTTTGATTGTCATCCTTTCAGGTGTTTTTTCCGGCCGAACAATTCGCATCCAAACCCCCCGTTCTCCGTGCTGCTCAATGCCGTCTTTCTTACACATATCCGGCTCTTTTTTTGTTGTTTGGTTTTTGCTGATTCCGTGTTTTGTTTGTCTTAGATTCCGTCCTCCCCCGAAGAGGTACAAGACAAGGCATTGGACTGGCTATACAGCCTTCCCCCGGCCCTCCAGGCGGGACAAGAGGGGGCGGAGGGAAGCGTGGAAGAACGGGGCGCAGCAGGAGACGAAGCCGTTTCTACTGCTGCTATCGTCAACGAGGAAGAGAAAGAGGCGGGGAGACGCGGGAGCGGCGCTTCGAACGGGCGAGGCGGGAGTTCTTCGTCCCTGACCAGCTCGTACGAGGGAGGGCTGGTGACAAGTGGCCTCAACTCGCCGGAAAAGGTAGGCTACTACATGGGTCGATGAGGGCGGGACGAGAGGCTATCGTAGCCTACTGCGTAGGGCGAGGGCAAGCCCAACCAACAACAGACGATGTGTGTGCGAGGAGTACATCCCTCGGTTGGTTCGTGATGGAGGTGTTGCGCTTATCTTTGAGGTCGCACAACAAAGTTACTTTTTGTGTGCGTCAGAACTCTGTTTTCAGTGGTCTGGTAGTGTGAGCTTAAAACATTTTGCGTTGCGCACAAGAGGGTCGACAGAACCCGACCTTGGGGGGGAAGGGACATGCGGCAGCACGGTACGGTACTCGTGTTCCCCTTTTGGTGGCGAGGCTTTTTCTATTCGGTACCCCAGGAAAACATGTGATTCAGCGGATATTCAAAGTGTACCTGGTGAGGCTTAAGGCATATTGAATATCAACAATCGGTCGGGACGATCGCATGTCTTTCGCGTGCACCACTACATGTGGCGAAGGAGTCGAGGGGGTTTGGGCAGCGCGTACACAATCAGTCATGGTGCCGCACGGTCTCCGCGTTGGTGTGACAAGAAAGGGAGGCAACGACCCCCCAGGGATGACGTCCCGTCGCCCCCTCCCTCACCCGGTATCCGTCTGCTCCGTAGCTGCTGTTCATGTGTTCATAAGAGGCCACTCGCCCGCCGGGTTCGGTCGTTTCGACCGCCTAACTGCATTGCCCCCCCCCCCCCCCCCCCCCCATCTTCTTTCTTCTA